CTGGGGATGTGGCTCAGTGGTCCAGTGCCCCTGAGTTCGATCCCCAGTGGCCTTCCCGCAACCCCCAAAATAAAGACAAGTCTCCAGAGAAACAGGTAAAGAACTGTAAAGTTTGGGAATTATCTCTGGTGTTGTGAAAATAATCAAGCAGTGTGAAAGGGACCCATATTTTGTGGAATTAAATCTAAAGTAGAGAAATTATTTGGTAACTATATTTAGTAAATTTTGCATTGTAAAAGTCGTTGTGCTGCAGTGTTTGCTTTTATTTATTTGTTTGTTTATTTATTTATTTATTTATTTATTGTAGTTGTACACAGTAACTTCTTTATTTTTATGAGGTGCTTAGGATTGAACCCAGGGCCTTGCACATGCAAGGTGAGCACTCTACCACTGAGCCACAAYCCCAGCCCCAATGTTTGCTTTTTAATGGTGGCTTCTTAACCCAACCAGTGTTCACAGGCAACCCCACGCTCCAGCCATCGCTCAGGTCTTGCCAGTGCTGGGACAGACTCCTCACACCCTGGCCCACTGGTGCCTCCACGCTGCTCAGTCCTGCGAGACTCTGTGGTGTCATCTGTGGCTCTGTCCAGTGTTGCTCCCATCCTCCAGAGTTCCAGAGAAATTCACACTGACTTCCCCAGATCTGGGGAGAAACAGAAAAGTCCTTTTCCTATGTTTCCAGTATGACCAGTTTGACAATCTCAGAAGAAAGAACAAGAACTAGATACTTTTTAAAATATTTAGCTGAGCCTTTTCCAGGAATTGTGATAATCCCTGTCTCAGCCCCCCAGGCTTCAGAAAAGCAAATAGTAATCAATAAATAAGCATTTACTTTATAAATACATTGACCTACCTTCAAACTGTATCTTTTTCTTAAATCCAGGGGTGCTTAACCACTGAGCCACATCCTTAAATTTTTTTTTTTTTTTTTTAATTTTGAACCACAGCCCTTTTTAAAATTTTGAGAGTCTTGCTAAGTTGCTTAGGGCCTCACTAAATTGCGGAGGCTGGCTTTGAACTTGTGATCCTCCTGCCTCAGTCTCCTGAGTTGCTGGAGTCACAGGTGTGTACACTGTACCCAGCTTCAAACTGTACCTTGAAAAATATGAATCAGTTCCAAAATCAGTGGGAAGACTGTGATGTCATTCATGCCACAAGGTAATGATGCAAACATGCTGCATCAGGGAGTTTAAAACTTTAATGTGCCTAAGAATCACGGGGACAAATTTTTGGGCCCCATCCTTAGAGGTTCTGATTCAGACAGTCTAAAATAGAACGTGATACTTTGCATAATGCCAGTACTGTCTGTCTGTGGGCCACCCTGAGCAGCATTGTACCATAGCAGAATGCAAGACTCGGACTCAGCCTAGAGAAGTTTGCTCATTTGCTTCATGGTTACAGAATGACCTCATAAGAACACAAATTCTGTACAGTGGAAACTCAGGAGATGAACGCAATGATGGGGTTGTTTCTAAGAGAACAGCATAATTGTCCCAATTAATCTCTTGTCCTCTCTTGCTGGGTTGGTATTTTAAAACTTTCAGAATGTTTTTAAAGGAAATATTAAGTCTCTGAGTATAATTTACAGTAACTGGTTTGAGTAGCTAGGTTTTCTTAGAGCAAAGCAGGTGACAGACAGTATGATCATGTTCCACTCACTTTACAGTGGCATCAGACCTTGATTTTCACATTAAACAAGAATGACTCTTAAATTTATGACTAGAGAAAATGTGTACTTTTAGTTTTATTAGAGTAACTGTAATACAGCACTTTTTGAATTACTAGGGAAACCCAAGCGGAACTATTTTATAACCCGCAAAACAAAGGAACAGAAAAGTTCCTTCTAGACTTGGCCTTGGCCCCAGGGGTTCAGATGGGATTGTCAGGTGC